GATTTTATTTGGGAAACGTAAGATATTTGTTTTTGGGGGAAAAAAGGATTACTAATAAACATTATTATTCAGACAGTTATTATTCTGACTCGTGCAGTACCTCTTCACTCTTTAGTGTCCCAGAGTAAGTGCTGCATTTCCAGGAGAGCGCTCGTGACCCAGTGGGCTCAGTCCAGGTGTAGTACACAGCTTTCCCAGCCTCCAGCTCCTCATGCTCTGCCTTTTTCTGAGAGCTGCATGTACACAAACCCACCAAGACAGACACATGCCGTATGTATCAGCAACATGAGTTAAAGCTACCAAAAATGAAACAAAGCAAAACAATTAATGACTGTGAAAATACAACAGAGCCCCTCCACCACAATCAAGGACCATGCCAGCAATCATTTTCTCTGAGTTGTCTCTCAGCCTGCAGCAGCAATTTTCATCAAAAGACAGAAATATGTCACCCAGAGGTCCCCACATTCCTGGAAATAAAAGGCCAAATATGCACATTCACATATTAGTGAGGATTCTGAAACAAATATTCAATGGATAATAAAATGAAGACTGAAGGAAGAAGTGGCGAAGCTGGAATCTACAAAAGGGTATAAAAAGCACTAGTCGAGAGCACTACAGGAAGAAGCAGGTGGTGTGATTCCTTTGGAGGAATCCCATCCAGTCAGCAGCATTCACATTTTTCTATAAGATCATAACATAGATGAAAGCAACACTGAGTAAATGGCTTAAGATTTGTATTCTGCTCCTTTAGATCTGTGTAAATTTCAGGTAGATCAGTAAAAAAAAAATAAGTGGGTAATGGTGTAGGTCTTTTATAAATAGAAAACTGAAACTGTGACACAGTCAGTGGCATTATGTTATGTACAGTGGAACCCCGACTTACGAATACCCCGTTTCACAAAAAATTCAAGTTACGAAGGCACTGAACGGCAATATTTCTGCCCGTGTTACAGCAAAATGCCCGAGTAACGAAATCCGCTGGCTCTGATTGGCTGAGCCTACAATGCCCACAATGCTTTCCGAATCATGTGACAACCCCTTGGCTTCCGTACTTGTGCTTCGGTGTTCCACTTGAATGACGTATTGTTGTTCTAGTTAGCAATTAGCCTATAGCCTATTGTTCAGCATTGCCTCACTCAAAAGGCGCAATGGGTGCTTTGACTTACGAAAATTTTTGACTTATGAAAGACCCTTGGGAACAAATTAATTTCGTAAGTCGGGGTTCCACTGTACTTAAAAAACAGAGTTTGATTATGGCAGAAGTAGGCCATGATGTACACTAAAAGGAAATATTGAAAGTACAGTGATTACTAAATACAACTAATATAACTTTGGTTAAGGGAGCAAAGTACAGAGGCAAACTAGAATCAGAGCTCAAAGGATCTTTTTTATACTTCGGTTTATCTACACTCGTCCATCTGACCACACTCTGCACTCAAATGAACCATTAATGTAACATCGAGAACAAACCATGATTAGCTGCTGCATCGTTTGCATATTTGGTTAACTCTGGTTAATGTTTGGAGACATCTTCGTGATATACTTGATCCTTCCTTTTGGCTTCGCCCACATTCCCTCTTTCATTTTTTTATATACCCACTGTTTTACCTGCTATTTCAAGATAATTTGGGTCATTCCATCTTAAAAACGTCAAATTTAAAAGCTACTACCTGATCATCTCAGATTTCCCCGAACAAATTCGAGGTGAAAAATACACTTTGGTGATTTGGTACATGGCATCCAAATGTGTTTGTTATTCTCCCTACATTTAAGCTCTATGATCTGTGAACCCATTCACCTGATTTGGGTTTGGTTTTAAAGAACATTATGTGAATTGTATAAGAGAAGCTATGAAGAAATTTGAAGTCCCACACAAAACTGTGGTTTCTATAGGTCTCGAAATCTGCTGCCAGTGATCAGACACCTAAATATTTTTGGAACATCAGGTATTCATCATTCTATGTTAACCTGAGCTACGCTCCTAAAAGTCAACATGCAAAGAGCCACGGTACCAGATAATGAGTCTGAAATTTTTCAAAGACCTAGCTCAATTATTTTTCTAGACGATGGCATTTTAAATCTAGCCTTCAAAAAATGATGTTAGAAAAATGTCTAAAAACACCCCTACCTCCTTCTATTTTTTTAACTAATGACAGACTTTGTTTTGCTAAACTCTTTCTACTGAATTTTTTAAGGCAAATCTTAGATGATCCTGTGGGAGCTAATATGAAACCACCCATGCGTTACTCATAGTGCAGTTTAAATAACCAAATGTACTGATGTGTGTTTAAATTGTTTTTCTTTTACCTTTGTCAAAGTTTACTAGACTGATTACTTCCTATAGGAAATAACTTTTCTCTGATGATGATGTAACTACACTGATGGTTCTCTTTTGTAATTCTTGTTCCTCATTTCTATCTTTATTTTGAGTTCAGAGTTTGTCAGAGGAGTTTCCCTTTTTCATATTTTCTACCTGTCCTCCTCCACTGAGAAGGAGAGGTCAAGTATCTGGTCAGCCACCCACGAGGATTCTGTCCGGACACTGCATGACCCACAACACACAAACAAACTGCTATCAGCAAAAATAAACACAGGCAATTATTATTAACTTCACTGTTTGAGGCAACTGGAATAGAAGAACAATATTGTTACTCAACAAATATGCAAAGACACATGTCAATAAAACATGGAAATGTAAATGTTTTGCGTGACGAAACCTGTAAAATTAATGGCTGCTGTTCATAAAATGGATAAAAACAAGAGACAGAAATAAATAGAAACACTAACAAAAGGTTTTATAAGTACATTCGCCACAAAAACATCCTACTTCTGGATAGAGCACCTAATATTAGGGTGAATGTGGCACACACAAAAAATATAACTGAAAAAAAATTTGCCGGTTGGCAAATGGTTGATGGAGGTTTTTGGCTGTAGTTGAGTGAAATCAGTTGCAAAGATAGTGCTCAACAAATACCCACGTTGTGATTGCTTTGTTCACTAGTAAGCTGTTATGGTTGCAAATCGACTGCATGGAAAACACCAACTTTTCTGCAAACAATTGCTGTTAGTGAAACCTAAAAAAACCAAACCTAAAACATTTTCTATATTTCCTTTTAATTGTGCCCCTCGGTTTCCTCACCTCTGATGGAACTGAAGAGTCTGATTTTTAGTGTGGTTGATGATGAGGAAAGGGGCTGCGCCATCATGGTAGTCAGAAAATTGAATAGTGGCCGAGTGTTCCGACAGATTCATGTCTACTATAATCCCACCCGCCTACACAAAAGAAACAAGCAACAGTCTGAAAGCCGTAATACAAAAGGCATGTGTCTGAAAATCATGTTAATCACCTCAATTACATATTATGTACAAAAATACCCCCAACTTATAAGCACACACAAATATTATTAACTATGTGCATTTCTGCTTACTTTGTTGTCCAGATGTAGCAATAAGCAGTTCTCTGGTCGTTTGAAGTCGATAGTCACTGGAGGCGATAGGGAAGCTTCTACTTTAATTTTAAGCTTCTTAGTGTCACTCTCAGGCCAGAAAGGGATGGCTGACTAAATGTGGGGGGAAAAAACCAATATGCTAAATGCTTCTTGTCAGATTATCAGTAGGTAAATACATTTTAAAACTTTATCAAGAAATGATCTTTAAATAAAGCATTTTTATGCACAAGAAACCTTTAGTCACATTAAATTTATAGAAATCAATCAGCACACATGTTCAGTTGTTACATCACATCTATTTATAACGTTATATGTAAGAATACCCAGGATCTTGTGTCTATGATATACTCAAACCAAAACCAAGACCTCAACCTGCATTGTTCAAAAAGAGAAAAATCTGAACAGGCTCTGACCTGTTCTGGTTTTGCCTCAGTCCAAGTTTCTTGCCCGTCTTCGCATATGAACACACTGTGCTTAGTTCTGTTGACCAGCATGTAGAAGGGCACAAAGGTCACAATGCGGGTCAGACTGAAACTGCTTGCATCGATCTTCACACCGACCTGAAATAAGACAGAGAATAAGACAGAAATATTACATGAATACAAAAAAGCACATATCAAATACACCTGCCTCTTTGGATCCTCTGCCTCCATCTCACCCTATCCCTCATCTACTTTCCCTCTCAACATTTTCACCATTCCACCTGTCTTCCTCTCATCCACACAAATGTATTTTGTCTTTCTCCTACTGACTATCATGCCTCTTCTCTCCATAGCATGCTTCCACCTCTTCCCTACTCTCATTGTAGATCAAAATGCCATCTGCAAACATCACAGTCCACGCCAACTCCTGCCTGACCTCATTTCTCAACCTGTCCATCTCCAGTGCAAACAAGAAGCGGCTCAGAGCCAATCCCTGACTATCCCACTTTTTCTTCGCCAACCTCTTCCTTTACATATTTTTTTTGACATTTTTATACAAAGAGATAAAATTTCAAATCTTACCAGATAATCTTTGAATCTGCCTTTGCATTTCACATCCCCGTGGCTCCCAACTGTGTCCAGAGAGAATTCATCAGATAGTTCACTTTCTGAGATCATAAGACGAACCTGGGGGAGGAAATAATGTAATCTAATAAATGTACTGAACCACTGGGACCACTGTGAACAATAATCAAACATGTTTCTTTTAAAGAGCTTTCAGTAAAACTGACTTCAAATAAATACCTTATTGTTTCGCAAGAAGTACCGAGGCTTGAATGAAAAGAGCAACGGCATCTTGTAGTCCATGGGATGTTTGCGGTGAATGTCATCAGCCTTGTACTGCAACAACCTGCCCGTCTTATTTATCATCCAGTACGGTGAATGGATAGCAACCACCATCTTCCCCAGATCATATTTAACATGAACTGCTATATCCAGCTCAGCCCTCTTCCTCTCCACTGCATCTCCATCTTCGTCTGCATCCTCTCTTAGAGACTTGAACACAATGAAGGTGATCTCTTCCTGATCACTGTTGAGTCTGTACAAAACAATAATTGTTTGTTTGTATCAGAAATATGAAACAATTTAATGGAGACTGCACGTCTCTCCTATAAATATAATATAACTATGCATCAACATTTTTTGTCATGTTATTTAAGATCAACATACAATAAATACAGAGAATGTGTCAATAACAAAAAAAAAGAAAGAGATTAAGTCACACCTATACACAGAAGACCAATCCTGAGCCAAGTACTCAATCAAGCGAAGATCAAGACTTGACTGGTTGATGACTGCAGTGTGAAGCTGAGCAGAGTGACCAGGGTCCAAAGTAGCCTCAGATGCAGAGATTCCACTGTTCTGTTGAGCAACAGGATGAAGAAAACAAAAGGTGTCTCTTCATTTGAAACTTCTACCTTGCTGCTTTTAGTTCATGCCAACTTGTAAAGAAAATACAATGGTTGAAAAAAAAAGTCTCCAGTTACTTAAATTAAGATAACAGAGTTCCATATTACACATTTTTGCTATATTTTGTTTCAAGTATAAAATGAGACATTTTAAATATCTAAATGTGAGTGAATTTTCTTATCTTTCAGTTAAAATTACTAAACAGAAATGCCAGCACTGGACAAAACTAGGTTTATTAACTATTGCTTGTTTTTTGGGGGTTTTTTTGCTGCATAGAGTCAACAGATTTTTTTCCTATTTTGGATTAATGGAATGAATACATTTACTTCAAATTACCATGTAGGAAGCTGAACATGTCATATATAACTAGTCTTCCGCAGCTTAATGTTACAGAAGTCTACAAATGAGGTGTTAAATACACACTAGATATTTGCTGTTGTGTCTCGCCTTAATGTTTAAACAGTTACAAAATTAAGTAAAGTCATGCAGAGCAATCCCTGCTTTAAAAAAACTAATGATAAAAGTACAAACATCCAACACATAAAGCAGTATTATCCACATATGCCTAAGAAATGTGAATGTGCTGGTCTCTGACTGAGGTCCTATGGTAGCATTACATAACAAAGAACACTTCCCACTTTTAAATAGAGCAAATACAGCTGTAAAATACACACACTATTATTTTATTGAACATTTACTCACATAAACCCACTTCGTATGTTACTTTTCAATGTTCAATGGACTACCTGAGTACAGATTATTACATACATCCTACCTTTAGACTGTAGGTGATGGTGTAAGGCAGAAGGTTGCGTAGCAGGATGGAAGGCCACAAGTGAAGCACGAAGGGCACGTCAAAATTCTCCCCGACATCTCCGGTCTCTTTGCACGTCACTGCATCTTTTAATGGCACAATGTTGATGGTCATCACACCACCTTGGTTTCCACGGCGACGGCAGATTTGCTGTAGGCGTTTCTCAGGCTCCAGGTTGTTAACGTCCTCGTAACTGAAGCCTTCTGAGCAATCATACTGCTCACCCTGACTATCATCTGTGCTCTCTATTACTGGCTGAAGGCTCAGCTCAGACCTGTTTGGAGGGTAAGGGCAGTAAAGGTTAGAGGTTATTGGTTTTTGTTGTTGAACAGAAACAGAAAAGATCTGGAAACATAAAACAGAGAGTGAGTGAGTTAAGTTATGTGCGTAAATATGTGGGCTAATTTAAGCATTTGCTCCTACCTATACGAGTCCAGAGGAACACAGAACTCCTCAGCAGGGAGAGCAGTACCCAGAAGGATTGATCCTTCAAAAACGTTGAATGGTATTGAGAAATGATTGATGAGCTGCGTAGTAAAAGACAAAAACAAATTCCTGGTTACTGACACTTGAACTTAATCTGAGAGATCTATCTGGGCATATTGGCTTATATACTAAAAGCTACTTTTTAGGAGTTCCCACAGTGGGTAGCTTCCTAGGCTTAATTTAGGAGATTTCTACACTGAATATGCTTCCTGATGCAACCCCAAAGGCATTTGTGTCTCCTCCTGGAATTGAACAGGGGATCTTTCGCTTGATAGTGAAAAACTAAGAGACAAAGACTTCACTGTTGAGCCACTAAATTGTTCAAAAATGCCATAAATTACACTTAATGATTAAATAAAGGATAGTTGAGTGTCTGGAACATTGATCTCTGAGGGTGCAATTCTAAACTCTAAAACAATATATACCACTCCCTTCAGAGAGCAGTACAGGCTCTAAACAAAATACAAAAAGGAGTGGGAGGGCCCTTAATGCAACTAAATAAGAACAAGGTTGGTTGGCCTTCAAAGCAGAGTTTCAAAGTCATTTCTGACATTGGTAAAAGGACAGTAAGAGGAAGAGACAGACAAAAAAAATCAGAACCACTGAACTTGACCAGAACAAGATTATACTTATATATATATATATATATATATATATATTATACTTTTATAAATTTCAAATGTGAAATGTTGCCCACACAGCCATCTCCAGGGTTTACAGATGAGGTGTGGAAAAGAAAGTTCCCTGGGCAAAGATGCCTTGTTGATGTCAGAGGTCAGAGGAGAATGGTCAGACTGCTTCAAGGCAACAGTAGCTCAGACAACTTGATACAGGTAAGATATGCAAACAGCATCTCTAAATGCAGCCACGCAGAACCTTGAAGCAGATGGGCCACAGCACCAGAAGATCATACTGGGTGCAGGTTCAAGCAGGATAATGTGCCATGTCCAAAGTTCAAATCATCTCAAACAATATGGACCAAAATTTTAGAGGAATCTTTCAAGCACCTTGTTGAATCTGTTCCAATATTAAGGCATTTATGAAGCAAAACAGGGGGACCAACCTGGTACTAGCATGGTGTACCTAATAAAATGTTTATTAACATGAATATCAGCAGCAGCTACCCCCAAACAAAAAGCTGGGGTGCATTTTGAAAAGAACGTTTTTTTTAAATGACTTTTATATAAAAAGGTAACCTTAATTACACTGAGTTTGTAATTAATGTAATTTGAGAGACAGCTCACTGTAATTACACGGGATGATATACACATGATGGGAATGATCATCCTACATACCTGGAAAGGAGAGCGGATCTTGATGTACTTGCTGCCTTCTACAGAGGAAATCTGACAGACCAGGAAACGGGTGACTCCTGAGTTGTTGTGCATTACACTGTACATTCCACGGCCCACTTTGATCAAAGGGATCACACTGGCTGAGGTGTGACCATCCGGAGCTGGAAAAAGAAAGAAAATAGAACATACAGGCTCTTTCTGACTGGCATGAACTTTAAAATTTGGTGACTGACAACAAAAACAACAACAATAACAAACAACATCAGATATTCTTTTTTAGAGAATAGAGCACAAGCTAATTAGAAAATTTAAAGAAAACACATAAAACATATATTTTTATGTTTTATCTTTGTGTAGTTGGAGATAACTGTAGATATATCATAGCTATTTGTTTTCAGCATAACCGTGATAGTAAAGTATAACTCACTAGGCTGTATGTAATAGTCTTTTCCACTCAAAGAGGTCATTGCTGAGAAATGATCAGTGTCTGTTGTGGTTGAATAGTCCATTCCGAGGGATTCGCCATTCTGCAGCTTCACAGTATTAGCGATACTCTGCTGTCCAACAGGACAAAACATCTCACTGTGGCGCACAGAAACTGGTAGGCCAAGACGGTTTTTGACTACAAATGGAGCTTCATCCTTTTGAAAACACTCTGCTGTCTGTTTGGCAGCTTCAGCAAATGCCTGGAGAAGGACAAAAACATGCATATCACACATCGGTGCACACAGGTAGACAGGTATTTTCTGTCAAGCCTTTGAAAGACTTCTTACAGTGCCCAGGTTACTCAGCATAGCCAGTCCACATTTGGAAAGTGTGATGTTGAGCTGATCTTTACTGTGGATGGCAATGACTGTCTTGTAGTCTGGGATATTGGAATCCACTTCATCTGACATTTCTGTGTACTTCACAGGTTTCTTTTTCATCTGGTTAGAGGACAGTAAAGTATTAGACACACCATGTGTATTTTTAAGTATTATTTCTAAGTATGCTATATGCATGCAGAATGCAAGTATACATGAGTACCTTCAGTTCCAGCACCCATGGTCTGAAACCATCTCTTGTCTCATCTTCTAAGGGCTCCAGTAGTGGCTCCCACACTCCCATCACTTCATTATAATAGTGAACCTAAAAATAAAATGCATTACTAAATAGAAAAAAAATTCTGAACAGCAACCAATTTATTAAAAGAACCACATGTCTATTGGTTTGTGTTACCTCTAAGGTAAGCTGACTGTATAAGTTAATGAGCGTGGACCAGTTCTCCACATCTCCTTTGAAGGAGGACTTTGCCAGAAGCATGGGGATGGTGCGATGTCCCACTCCAGCCTCCAGAGTCACACAGATTGATCTGATGTTCACCTGCAATTATTTTGCAAATTCAAATCATAAGTTATTATATGGCAGCATACAGTCAGCTTTACCATATTATAATTTCAGCCAAAATGCTAATAATTACCTTTAGGGACTCTCCCTGTGGTATTAAGCGGGTCATTGATTTGGTGTCTTCATCGTCATCTTCTTCTAGGAACCAGAGTTTGAGCTCCTTCCAACTCCGCTTATCCCACAGGTTCACAGGAACGGGGCTGTCCAGCTTCTCAGGGGTCTCTGCTGTTGGAGTGAGTGCTGACTGGATAGTAATCACGGTGTTGATTATGACTGGAGATACCTGTGCATGAGTCAGACACATGGGAGATAAAACTTAAGGTTACTTGCATAAGCCTGGCTCTCAGAGTAAACAAGACGTGGCAAGCAGCAACAGCAGCCAAGTCAATCAAGTCCTACAGGAATGACAAATCACACCAAACACATTGCTGTATTGCTAAGTGGCATGTCATTGTGGCCTATGATGAAGACTTGGGTTCAGGATTAGATGGAAAAAACAAAACAAAAAAAACAGCTTGCGCCAGTGATGGAGAAGTTAGCTAAACACTCCTTTCTATTGAAAATTAAGCTAGCTAGCTCATACTGGATGTTGAGACATGTTGCTACGCCAGATATTTAACAAATGACTGCGTAGTAGGGCAAGCTACTTAAAGTTAAGCGTTTCTGCCCGACAGAAATAAATTTCTTGCTTTTAAAATTTGCTTTCATTTGATACAATTTTTATCAACAAGTGCAGATACAGTCCTGTTAGAGCAACAATAATATGCCCCCTTATTATATCCATTACAAGGAAACAAAAGTCTGAAACTTTTCTTTTTTTTTTATCAAAAAACTGTATTTCCAAGGTAACACAATGCTGTAACCAGATGTAGGGATTGACTTTTTGTCTCATTTAATTAAGCATGCATACAAGGCAGTGGTTTAACCCCAAAAAGTTCAATTTTTTAAAAAAAAAAAGGCTTTCATTTGGAACTACAACAAAAACACAATCATTTCAATTTGAAGAACAAAATATGCGGCCACATGTAATATTAACAAAACAAATACCTTAAGTGAGAGAGCGTTGATGGTGACCTCCATAGCCTGAGCGGAGATTGGAGACTGAGTACTTTCGAAGTACACCTGACATGGCTGAAGCACTGTAGTCACATTGTTTCTCCTCTTTTGTCTTAAGAATGGACAGGCAACAACCTACAACAAAAGTGACCAGTTTAAAAAAAAAAAAACCAACCTAATCATATTTAATTTTAAATATGTGTTAAGGAATATTAACATTTTCCTCTGGATACATAATTTTGAATTCTTTGAACATGCAATTCTGACTACCACAATACATTCCAAATATAAACCTTGAGGTCCTTGATAACAGCAGTCATCCGTGATCCTTCTGCACCATTTTTCATTACTAGTTCACAATATGTGGTCATCACCAGAGCTGGGGCGTCATCACGAGTCAGGTCAGCTACAAATACAATCTCTGGGTTTCGCACCACAACATTCATTTCAGTCTTTGTTACCGTGGCTGTAGCTGTAGCTGGGAGGCACAGAGAGCATTAGAGTAAAACTTCACGTTAAATAATTAGACTACGCCAGTTTAACTTGATAATCACAAAACTCATAACCTAGACTCACTATATAAACGTATATAACATCTATATTATCTCAAAGCATCTATAAAAAGTTGTATTGTAATGAAATAGTCAAAAATGAAAGTTTTATAAACATAAGGCTAAACAAAGATGGGCATAATTTGGCAGTTTAAGCTTGTCGATTAAGAGAACTGACATGATTTCGGTCAACTAGATTAAAAGATTAAAACTGATAAAGTCAACTCACCAGACTCTTTAGATGTGACCGATGAGTTAATGTTCTTCTTATCGCCAGCACCAGTACTGTTCTTGGGTTGTGGCACTTGGGCAAAACCCTGCTGGGTGGCCTTAAGGAAGATATCGGCCACCGTGAGCAGAAATTCCATGCTGGCACATAGATACACATCCTGCACCACTGTATCTAAAGTGGTGCTTTCACGGGTTTGACGATAGCTCACTTCCACCATGTTGTTCTGTTCTGCACCAGGACACATTGCCATCATCCTAGAGAAAAACAAAATAGGACTATGAGAAAAAAAAGAGTGAACACAATAAAATTATTTAATTTACACTGATCCATCAAGGCTTTTTTTGTGTGTTTCGAGTCTAAATGTGTCACTAGCTTTATAAGTGGTAGCCGTACCTTGGGGTGATACTTTTGGCTTTTGGCCTCTTGTCGTCTAGAAGGCATTCAGCAAGTTGTACTGAGGCCTTCATGGAGCTGTCGGAGTACATGTGGACAGAGGTGGAGATGGTTCCCAGAGTAAATTCTGCTAGCTTCAGCTGCTCATCATGTGGATCTGACGGCTCATGTTGTGGGTGTGACTGGTCATGATGTGGGCCTGACAGCTCACGTTGTGGTTCTAACTGCTATTAAAAACAGAAATTACACAGACTTTCTTTACTAAACGTGACTCACAAAATACAGACTGACAAGTCTAACTCTATGATGTAGTTATGACTTGTGTATGTTTGTACATATGTAACAGACTTGGCATTACCTTATCCTCATTGGAGCTGTACAGAACCACAGTCAGTGAGTCAAACTTGAAGTTTAATTTCAGCGTGTTCTTTCTCAGCTTGCTGTTTTTCTGTGTCTCTACAACAGCAGCTGTCACCACTGTGTTACCTATTAACAGCATAATCAGAGCGCAGAGTTCAGATTAAAAGACAAGCTACTGGATTTTAGTCAGAATTGTGCACTAATTAAGGAGAACATGTTTCAGATTTCATTAGCTACATAGTTTTGTGCAAGTATGCCCTGTCAAACAACAACTCATCTGTTTTTTGTTTTCTGTTGGTTTTTTTGGTAAAAAGTTATCTGACCAGGCTGTTAAATCATATGTCTATATCTAAAGCTCTACCAAACACACATAGCTAGGGATGGGTACCGGTATATTCTGACATAAACGGTAGTAACCAGACCGAAAAGCAGCGCACATTTCGGTGCTTTTTTTTCCCTGAAATGTCATACACTTTGGATTCTAGCCAATCATTTTACCTTTGCAAGCGTAGTAGGCGGGTCCAGGTACGTATATTCTTTTAGAGCAGAGCTACAGATTAAAAACGCCCAAAGTGAAGGGTCAAAAGTCTGGCTGTACTTCACAGCAAAAGATGCAAACTCAGCAGCCTATAGCATTTTGTTAAAAGCCGAGAAATGCGCCGTATTTGATAGCTTGCTGCGAGACCTCACACCGAGCACATCTACTGCGGGTGGGTTGCCTGTTATCGGACCCGGAGTTAGCAGCATCCCCCAAAAACCTGAAGAGGAGAGTCCTGGCCCCTAGCCCTGCCAGTGTAGCAGAAATAATGACGGATGATGATGGCAGCAGCAGCCGTTCTTCTCTGCATGAGTAGCTTAATGTTGTCCGTGTGTAATTTACGTTGAGTACGCTACGTTATTACATTAATGCATGTAAGGTGAACTAGCAAACACCATCGTAGTTACATGCGGCTGTCTTCTTGTTTGATGGCGGATACTCTCTTCACCCTGGCCAAAAAGGCTAAAATGACCAGAGAAAAAGTGGAAAACAGCTAAACATGAGAGGTTTTTGGACAAAGTTTGTGTTTTTTTCCATTGATTAAGCACTGCTTCCAGCCAAGAGTGATGCCATAAATCCCCTATAGCTGCAGAAAAGGCTAACATTGTTATCTTTTTATCAAAAAAAACAGCTGAACATGGACCAATTTTGTGTTCTCCATTCTTTAAGCACCGGTTCGAGCACCGTTTAAGCACCGGCACTGTTTCAAAAGTACCGGTTTGATACTGGTATCGGATAAAACCTAAATGATACCCATCCCTACACATAACCATATCAAACATAACCATATACAACAACTTACTGCTGGGTGGTCCAGTGGCCCCAGACTCCTGGGAGTCTTTGTTGGATACAGAGTCAGAGGATGGGTCAGTGGCAGGCAGAGCAGCTGGAGGTGGACCAGCATCAGACTTCTCTGACAGGTTCTCGTTCAGAGTCCTCAGGACAATGATCATGTCATTCTGGCATAGGAGCAGCTGTTGGGAACATAGAGAGATGATTTTGATAAAACTATTTTTAATTCTCAATATAAGCCTCTACACAATTGTGGGATTAAAAATCAAAAAAAACAAACAGGTATGATATATGAATATATATACTTACACTCATGGGCTTTAGATGGACCCCAATATCTATGTCAGGTATTTCATGGTACCAGCTGGAAGATAGATTTCTACGGATTTCCAAGTCTAGGCTCACTGGCTTCAGCAGTTGGATCTCTTCTTCAAAACGTTCATTTTTAAATTTGACTCTGAAAGCAACAAAAACAGATTTACAAAGGTCTATCGGAATACTGCAAATTCTACTCAATCACAAACACAAGCATGCATATTTTTTTAAATAATACCTCCCACAGAAACTGACCTGAACATCTTAAGGTCAGTCAGTCTCACAGTCATTATATCCACAACAGGTGGGATGCTGGCATCTGATTTACAGGGTTGCATGGCAAAACGATTTTTGATAGAAAGCAGACCAAGGTCAGCTACAATGACATTTGATGAAGAGGAGGACTGGGGGAGGAAGATGACGGGTGCATTGAAGTGGACATCAAGAGCGATCCGAGTGGTCCGTTCAGCCAGTTCTTTCACGCCTGATGCTGCTTTTTCCGCAGCCTGAACTGTTACCTCAGTTAGTGCCTCTTTAGCCTCCTGGAAGTTATTGACAAACTCCTGTAAGGAGATGGGGTGGGGAAAAATATTTTTGGAGAAAAATTAATAAGATCAAGTTGGAATGCAGAAATATACAGAGGTAACGTAAATAATTATATTTATAATTATAATTTTATTATTACCTTATCTAATAAATTAAAACACCACTTCAGAGTTTTACATGTGAACTAAAATTGATAAGAACAACAGATTAATTCTGCCCAGAAACGTGATTCTTACCAGTATAGATGAGAGAAACTTGTTGAGGAAGATGACCTGAATGCAGCCCACACTTAGTGTAACAGTAGTGTCAACGTTAGACATGTCCAGATAGGCATCTCCTTCAGTCGCATCTGTATAGTTTACCATGTGGAAGTGAAACACTTCCTTATCTGCTATGGACACAGCCTAGAAAAAACACAGAGCGGCACAGAAAAAGTTGTTATTCAGATTTGCCTGTGCCACATGATCAGCAAGTGACACAAAAAAAACATAACAAATGAAGACCAGAAACATCAATGCGGGAAATAATGACCATTTCTTTTGTATTTTTTTTAAGTACAATGGTAAACATTCATAAGCACTGGCTGTCAGTACCTTTTTGTAAAAAGCTTCTTTGTTACAGTCCAGAATCACAATGTTCTTCAATTTGGCTGAAACCTCCATCCCCTTCTTCCTCATCAGGACCTCGGAAACCAGACCTAGACAATTACGAAAGCCCCAAGTTGTACAATGAATTGAAGATTTGACTAGAAAAGGTTCATTAGAAAACTCTATATACGGCAGAGTATAGTAGAAATAATAAACAATTAATAAATCCTATTGAAAGCACTGCCAGAGTACCTAGTACACAGAAAACTATTTCTTTCATACCTTCAATACTGATCTCTGAGATCCTGGCCTTCTGTCCTCGAATGAAAACTTTAAGGCAGCGGAGATCAGTTTTGATATGCAGATTAACCACATCTGCAAATTTTGACCTTTTTGAAGCTGGGGAAAAAAGGTGAAGGACAAGAAATAAAGACATTACCTGTGAACAGCTGCAAAAAAGGAAAGCTATTTCCAGTGTAATATTTAACCTTTGATACTGCTCTGAAAATCTGTTTCATTAACTGTGAAATATCTGCACTAGTAGTACAATGTTCTCATAAATGGTGAGACAATAACAGCGTGCAGATAATATCAGTTACGTTTTTTCTTGGTTACAGCAGTTTCCTCCTTCTTCTCTTCCTCCTTCTCTGCTTCAGCATCGTCTTCCTCAGGGATAGTGGGAAGCTCCTCCTGCTGTCCTTCCTTCTTATTAGATTCAGGAAGGAGCTTACTGAGGAAGTTCATGGTATTGAGGAGAGCCTCCGTGTGGAGGTGAACATCCAGTGATGAAAAGGTCACCTGATGAAGAAAATTAACCTTTTTGTCTGAAATGGTATTTTGATTCTTCTACCCATTATTAATAATTACTGTAGAAGAAGCACTGCTGTTAACTGTGGGTTTTTCATCATCTCTCAGCATGCCCTAAATAACATCATGCTATAAATAACAAAATGGGAACGTTAAGTAAATAAAAAAAAATATTATTGCTAGGTTATTAACATTTCCCTCACCTTGATGAGCTGCTCAGTGTTATTATATTGAGACTTGAAGTCGGGACCATTCTTGTCAGCCTAGAAAAATTCATCCAATCTTTAATACTAAGGTGATTTACCAGAGTTTTAAAATATTTATAGAAAATATTCTGAAATCTTTTCACGTAACGTATCCCATATTACTTTGATATACTCCAGAGTGAGCAGGTCGACTTCTTTGTTGTCCAGTGTGGTGATCAGCTGTACTTGCTTGTCTTCAGAATCTGTGCAAGGAAAAAACAAAGCATACCTAATAAAAAATTAAGCAAAGACTGCCCTGATGATTTGCACATTTTTATTAGGATAACTGTAATCATCAAATGTTTAACAAAAAATAAGGCATTGCTGGTATCTACTGACCCATGTATTCAGGACACTTGAGGCAGATCTCTCGCAAGTAGGTATTAGACGTCATGTCAAAGGTGCGCAGCTTCAGCTCAGTGCCCAGACCCTCTATGTCTAAGTGGAGCACCGTAACCTCCATACTTCCAGACAAACGACAGAGCTGAACAGAAAACTGGACAAAGAAGACAGAGAGACGATGGAAAAGTGGGAAAAATGATCATAAAGGAGGTCACAAAAATAAAAGGAGGTGGAGAAATTTAACTAAGGAATGCTAAAGAGAAAAGGCAGAGTTTGAATTTTCTTTTTATCTCACACAGAAATAACTAAAATGACTGATAATAAGGTTAAATAAAAATAATTCTTACAGAATTTAATAACTATGTTTAATTGCGCAGAAAGGAAAAAAATATTTTTGTACCTCACTGATCTCAAATGTCATAAAGAAGTCAGTCATGTTCTTTTGTGCATCTTCCTTGATGAGACTTTTTCTTTTGCTTGCATCGACATAGCGCAGCGGCATGGGATTGTCTGGAAAAAATGGTTTCTCCCCAAGGGGAGAGCTGGGCGCATCATAGAACAGATCCTCCTCTGACCCTGGGATATAATTAAAAAATAATCTGTGGTAGGAATACACACAGGATTTTTAAAGATATTTAGCAGTAGGTAAGACAAACAAAAGTGTGTCTTACCTAATGAGGTGATGCTGATGGTCTCACATGACTCAAAAATGAGAGAAGAGCGCTGATCAAAGTTCAGAGGTTTTCTGGGAGTGAGATGAGGGGTGAAAGACTGCCTAGGCTAAAAAAAAAGAAAATAAATAAAAACAGTTGTATTAACACAGTGTTAGTAATAAAATCTATCTTTACTTTTACTAGTCCGGCACTTCCACCTCAATATTCAACTATTTGTATATTCATTCAATGCAAAACCCTCAAGCCTTCAGATGGTTTTTTTTGTTTGTTTGTTTTGCTTTTTTTTTTTTTTAAATTGGGGAAAAAATGAACCATCTCAGCCGAGGCTTCCTTCTCATTCATAGCAGCGATCATCATAATTCACTGTTGCCAACTGAATGCCTGTGCCGCGCGGTATAGGGATTTCCACCCCCATCTGAGTCAATGATAATAACAGAGCCCCAAAAATTAAATGCTTAAAATCCACTATAATTATCCATAGAATTCTCTATTTTGTTACGTCATTTCTAACCACTGTAAAGGACAACAACAACAGTAATTACTAATAAGAGAATTGAAGGCTTAATTTGTTTGCAGCTAATGTGCACAACCTTCAAGACTCCCAAGATTCTAGTTTTTAGAGATTTTAGTGAAATCCGGAGAGGACCATCTCCATAACCCTCCGATCTTACCTTTGGAGTTGATGATGGAGCATTGCCACGTGCAGCAGGTTTGCTTTCAGGCAGCGGGATACTGTCCACCAGCTCCAGAACACTTCGAAGTTTTACATCAGAAATACGAAGAGACAACAGAGGAAGCTTTCCAGACATCTTATATCTATAAGACACATACACAAAGATCCATACAAAACTTACAACCTGAAACTTAAGCTTACCTAATACTCTCAGCTCTGGTCCTTACAAGATAAATATTTTTAGTTGTGTATCTGAACCCGCACTATATTTATGAATATTTACTAGTGTTCGAATCCGTTTTCAATACTGCACTTTTTTTTTTTTTTTTTTTTTTACAGTGAAACTCTTCGGGGGGGGAGAGAAGAAAAGTATTAATTTCTCCACAGAAAAGGGTTAAGAGCAAGTTAAGATTTACGTACAAAGATTTCATTTAACCATCAGTTGACTGTCAACCAGAAACATACTTACTTTGGCATGCGGGAGTCTTTGTTGATCATTGCCCTGCTAAAAACCACCTTTAGATCAACTGGCTCTAGGATGTGGAGGGGTGACTGTTTCTGTTTGCGGGCCTTTTTCCAGTTACCATCTATCACATAAAGATAACGTTTTATTATTATTTATTTTTACTGAGTCCAAACAGAGGCTGAGTAAAAACAAGAAATATGTCTGTTGGATCAATGTGTAAGTTTAGCAATATCCCTTCCAGGACACAATACCTGAAATCAATGGAATTTTTTTTTGCTAAGACATAGTAAAGCCATTAGAGCTACAAGTGCCAATCACTTTCATAAAGACATTTCCTCAATGCTGTCTGTATGACTTTTTTCGCTGTGTAAAACCTATCAATACAAACAAAGCCTAAGCTTAGTGATTTTTAGTAGTTAGAATAAAAACAACACCTCATCAATCAACATTATGTGTATCAGTCAAAAACCTTCAATGTGTTACAAATGTGTTGGTGTGTCTGTGTGTGTGTGTGTGTACCTGGTTTGCTATAAAGAAACTGTAGGCTTTCAAGTTGCACATCAAAGCTATCGTAAGCTCTGGACATGATGTCCTCAATGTTGCTGGAACTCACACACAGCTGAGGTAGATGTTTCCTGCTTTGACTGGACATCTGTAAAAGTACAGAAACATGAAGGCATATATTGGTAAGTTACCTTGGATTTCCAGCCTGCTGTCAATCTTTATTCACATTTGACACTTCCCCACCTTGAAATGACCAAGATCCAACAGCAAGATGTTCTGAGTGCCATTGTAAAAACCGGTCTGTGGAATGATCACGTAGGAGGCCATCAAGTTCACCTTCAGGTCGAGAACCTTCTGTGTTTCAATCACATACAGTAAACCTGTAATACAAAATGTTAATAGGTCATCAATAGTAGTTTTGTCTCCAAAGGTGGGTGAATTTTATTGTTATGGAATGCATAAAATTAACTAAATGTGTGGTTTTGTTTAATGAACCCTGAGATTCTATTAATTTAAGTAATGTTTAAATGACAAATTCACCTAAAAGTTCTAATAAGGAGAAAACTTCAATAATGAAAAAAAAAAAAACCTTGAAAAATCTTCCAAAGCCCTCAGGAAACAATCACTTTCAAGAGCATAAACAGGAAGACTAAACAAGGAATGTAAACATTCGCCCATCAAAGACGTCCTTAGAGATCCTAGAAGATTAATCATGATAGCAGATATCTGCAGTTTATCTTAAACTCACCAGTGGCTGTGCGGTCTCTAAACTGCTCCAGTTTCATCAGGGTTGCATTCGTGAGCTCATCCAGCTGCATGTCATCAGGAGGCCTGAAGAACGCCGATATGCTGTTCACAGTTATCTACACAGACACATAGACAGAGTCAAATATATATATATGTACTGCTTTTGAGGGTTTTTATTTTTGCTGCCCATTCACACTCAGTGAACCACTCACAGCGTCATAGATGATTTCCAAGGGTTGTGATTCTACGTGAAGCCGCTGGTTAGCGCTCTCGTCCAGGGGGTTGGTCTCAAACAGGATACAAAGCAGTGGGGTCCCTGCTCCTATGGCTGCCTTCCTTGATGAAAGGAGAGTTGGTGGAGGCTGCTTATTGGCGAGGCCAGTGACCTCAAACAAAGTAAGCTTGGCTGTGATTCTGGGAAGAAAAGAAACACACACACACAGACACAGACACAGACACACACACACACACACACACACACACACACAAGCTAGTGTTATCAAGTATCTACCCTTGTGGAGAAAAAAGACCAGCTACAAAGTTGTTATTTTGTTTTAGAAGGCTGGAACAAACTTGATGGCTTGTGCTCCAGGTCTCTGTGTGAGTGTGGAGTACAGCTCTCCCACAGTCAGCCTGATGATCTCGTTTTTGTCCTTGTCATCTTTAATTGACATGGACAGTTTCTCCATGTGGAAGTTGACCTTCATGTTCTCAAACTTAAAGATATGACACAAAGAGTATAAAGATAAAGTAACAGAATACTTGTTTTTTTTTTTACAATTGTAATATTTGCTTCTGTGCGACAGATAACCAAGTGGAAGTGTATTATTAGTAATTGAGGGGGTGTTGTGGGGGAAAGTGACTCACATCCTTTGGCAGATTGGGATTAGCAGCAGTCTCGCTGTATCCAATGGCAGTGTAGAGTTTGGCTTTCTCAGCAGGGGTTAACAGCTCATCAAACCCTGACACAGAGATGTTAAGAAGAATAAATGGAACGGACATAGGAGGAGTAAAAAAAGCTAATATTACAGGCTGTTACTACAAAGACATTCCACATGTACATGTCTATCTGTAACCTACCTCCAGTCTTAACTTCTTTTCTTTCTGTATCAGGCTGTGCCCCCCAGTTCCACATCCAGCTGATCCAACCCTGAGACTCTTCTTCCTCCATCTTCATCCCAGGACGGTAAATACGCAGGCCTGCTTTACTTGCCTAAAGAAGGAGACAAAACAAAATGTCAAATGCTTCCCCCTTTTCACTTTTCTGAGGAAAGATGGCAAGGAAAAAACCTGACCAGCCCACAAATGATCTGTTAGCATCATTTATCCCTCAGATAGAGGCCCAACCCATTTTCTAAAAAAGATTATTAAGGTAGTCGGTCCTGACATTTTAACTATTTTTAATAGTAGTCTCAGTTCTGGAGTAGTACCAACTGGATACAAGCACGCTGTAACCGAACCTTGATTCTTCTGTTCTTGCTAATTTTAGACCTGTTTCCAAGCTTCCGTTTCGGTCAAAAATTCTAGAAAGGATTGTATTTGAGCAGCTCCAAACCTTTCTAAATAGTCATAATATTTTTGAGAAGTTCCAGTCGGGCTTCAAAACCCACCACAGCACAGAAACTGCCCTCCTAAAAATACTTAATGATATTTTATTAATCACTGACTCAGGAGACCCAGCTGTGCTCCTGCTCTTAGACTTAACTGCAGCCTTTGATACTGTTGACCACAGCATTCTGATCTCCCGTTTGGAGCAATGACGTATCAAAGGTATCCCCTTGGAATGGTTTAGGTCGTACCTCTCCGAGAGGACTTTTTCCTTGCCTTGATGATTTTATTTCTTCCCCAGCTCCTTTTACTTGTGGTGTCCCACAGGGTTCCGTATTAGGCCCAATTCTTTTTTCAATCTATATTTTGCCCTAGGCCTAATCTTTAGGAAGCATAACATCTGCTTTCACTCTTATACTGACGACACCCAGATTAATCTTCAGTTTAATAGAAACACCCCCACGCCCATGGAATCGCTAGTCAAATGTCTTGACGAAATTAAAACCTGGATGGCCTCAAATTTTCTTACCTTCAATGAGGATAAAACTGAGGTAATTCTTTTTGGACCAAGCTATAATTTCAATGCCCCAGATTTGGACTTATGTAACCTAACATATGCTGTTAAAACGCATGTAAAAAACCTGGGGGTTTTCTTGGATAGCAAACTTACATTTGAGAAACAAATTAATTCAGTTGTCCAGCGGTGCTTTTTTAAATTAAGGCTCCTATCCAAAGTGAGATCTTTTCTATCCTTTAAAAACTTGGAATGAGCAATTCATGCGTTTGTTTTATCTCAACTGGATTACTGCAATTCACTATATGTGGGTGTCAGTCAGTCCAGCTTGGCTCAGCTCCAACTTGTACAGAATGCTGCAGCTCGCCTTTTGACTCGTGTGAAGAAACACCAACATATTACTCCGGTGCTTGCTTCCCTTCATTGGCTTCCAGTGCGTTTTAGAATTAAATTTAAAATCTTACTTTTGACTTATAAAGTGCTAAATGGCCAGGCACCGGACTATTTGTCTGACCTTTTGCAGCTTTATACGCCCTCTAGAGCCCTTAGATCAAGTGATCATCTACTCCTTACCTTACATAAGCCTAGGATGGTTCATAGAGGAGATCGGGCATATGCGGTTGTGGCACCAAAAATGTGGAATGATCTACCTCTCCACATTAGAAAGGCCCCAACTGTTACTCTTTTTAAATCGCATCTTAAAACACCTTTTTTTACTCTGGCTTTCGAAACTGTATGAGAGTTGCCAATTCTTTTATCCTAATTTTCTTTAAATTTTCTTACCTGTTGTTGTTGTTAATGTCATTGCTTAATCGTTATTTTGTACAGCACTTTGATCAACTCCCTGTTGTTATTAAATGTGCTTTATAAATAAATAAATGAAATGAAATATAAGAGAAATTGTGCAGAATATGTAAATTTACAGTTAACGGCACAGTGCTGCACCTTCTGGAACCATGGCAGCCTAATCCTCAACCCCCTACATTCCTTTGCTTACTGTATAATTATCGATTATGTGCCTAATTTGGTCCTATAGCCTGCTGGAACAAACATACGCCAGCACCAAGCTGCTGAGAGGCACTGTACTGTGCATAGTTCCAATGAATCTCAAATTGTTGTCCTTTTTTATGGATTTATGCAACAACTTGAGATCACAAGACAAAGCGCAAAATGTGATGCAGCCATTACAGTTTGATCAATTCATAAATCAGACACAAGGTGTATAAGCTTATTGAAGTTCTCTCAGTTATGTGATACAAAAAGCTTACCTCCACTTCAGCCTGCTGTCTGGCCAAAGTGATGTTAAAAATATCCAAAGTCTTCTCGGGCTCCTATGAATAAACACAAAAGAAATCGATTAGAGCTTTCACTAGATTCTACAATTACTACAGTTCTATTTTGGGGGAAATATGATACTAATAAAAATAGAGAAGAACTTGGGAATACATTTAATTTCAGATGTTAAATTCAATTATTTTCAAGTCTATTTCAAAAACTCAGCATCAACCTCTAATGCACTTCAATCAATCCCTGTAGGCTTGAATACTAGATAACTTTGTGAGCAATTATGGCTAGAAATATGACAGACATCACTTTAGAAAGCTACTGAGAAGTAATACTATTGTAATCAATTACTTCCATATTATATTAGCTTTACTTTTGACATAGGCCTTCAATTATGATCACTACAGTCAAGTAAAGCAACTTTCGCAAGTATTTGTCTTATAACAGTGACAACAGGTATGAAATTTATATCAAAACAGAATTACTGGTAATATTAGTATATCAAATTAAACTCAAAACTTTCACCTGTCTAAACTGTTTGTATGCAGCAGGGAAATATAAAAAATTATAATAATTCAAATGTTTTAGTCTTAAGACAATAATGTGAAAACATAGACTAGAAAGGCAAACAGTCCCATAGGTCTCTCTGTTTATTTCCCTTTTCCCTCTCCCCTGTTCAGTTTAGTTCCACCCCACCTCTAATTTTTTGAGATTCTCATCGCTGGGTTTCTTGCTGGTGATCTTTGTCTTGTAGAGCTCTCTGTAGCTTTTTACCATCTGCCGGTGTTGGCGAATGTGTTTCCATGACCACATGTGGAGACCTGGCTTCACATCTATCTCCAAGACGCCTGTGATCACATACTTCCACCTGGAAATCAGGGAATCAATGTAACAATTTGTAATACTAAGTGGAGTGAATGTAATGTGGTAAAAGACATGTACATATGAGATCCAGTTTTTAAAAAAAGATTACAGAAAGACAGGGCAGAGGAAACAATGTGATAAATATGTGACAGTGTCTTCTGACCATGTTTTGGCGTTCTTGTGAACATGGACCTTGGGTCTGTACTTCCTGTATGGCAGATTACGTGACATCATATCCACTGAGCACAGCAGCTCCAAGATGCTAATGTACTGGAATAACAGGAAATCAGCAATTACATCATCACAAAGTACTCTAGTGCAGTTATTATCTGACATTGTTTATGTAGTTTATCCTTAACAACCCTCTTTAGCTCTCTCTTTCTTATAATATTCTATTTTAATGAGACTTTAACACATACAAGTTTAAACATCTCTATCACACACACACACACCTGGGCTTTGTTGAGTTCAATTGCCACCTCGCTGAGATTGACCATCAGGTCCACTTTAGGGGAGGAGAAATCCACATCTGACCTGGGATTCATCCGCAGTTTTGCATCAGCTGAAATGGGGCGAAAAACTGTGGAACAGCAAAAGGAATTAAGATGATTTAAGAATTGCAAATGTGAGCATTAAGATGGATTCACTACCTTTTGTGCTGCACATGGCAAATTTGCATCTATTTATAAAGAACTTAAAAAACTTTACCAATGTTATTAGTTCAAAAATATGTAAGCTGTTGCCTTAAAATGAAACTGAAAACAAAATCTGTTGAGATGTGCTGAAAATCTGGTCTCGTGACTCAGTGGTGGTGAATCAAACTCTGTGAATCACCCGGGGGGGGGGGGGTTTGGTGCTGCAGTGTCATTGCATATCATCACAAATCATTTCTTCATCACTTTCTGTCTGCAAAATTTTTCATACACGTCATGTAATGTGCTTTGAACTTAGTTCCACAAGAATGACACTCACTGAAGTCGTGAGAGGAGTGGACGTCCATGCTGCTCTGGAGATGTTGCTGTAAGAACGCAGAGGAAGTGAAGATTTATTTACATACTATTTTTTCGCTTTGCTAATTTCTTGGCCTTCTAACATTTTCAGATTTCTTTTTTGTTTTGATTTAACTATAATGTATGGAAAAAAAACACTACTATATCATGTGTATGACATAGTGCTAAATGAAACACCTTTACATAACTCTTGTGTAATCGAAGATCTGCGCCCTGTGTGATCACAACATAACACTAACATTGTGTCTTCCAGGAAAATAGGAGATGGCTAATTCCAAGTACATAATAATACGTTAATAATACAGTGACTCACCAGGGCCCGATCTGAAGTGTGACTGGAGAAAAGTACTGAGTTAACATTCCAGTAGGCAAACAAGTTATCTAGTTGTACCAGCTGAGAAAACAAGAAAGATAAAGCAATTAGTGATGAAGCTGTTTGCGATTACAAGGAAAAAACCTGACAGTGTTTGACAAGGACTTCTCAAAGTTTTGATTATGCTCCAAAATTATGAGGAAATAACACTGCTGAAAGAAAAATCAATGAAGTTTTCCAAGAGTTAGTCTTTAACTTCAGAAAACTACTTTAAAGCCAAAAACAAATGCTATTAAACATGTATGTGGTATTTTTTATTTAAAACACCTACCCACCTTCCATACCACCTGTACAGTGGTGGTAAACAAGGTAGATAACATGGTTGGATTTCTTACCTTGAAGAAAAACTTGGACTTCTCATCTAAAAGACTGGGTCTCCACTTCGCGTCAGCTGTCTGTACGGTCAAACAAGCAGTGAGGTTCATTAAAAGCTTAATATCTAAATGTAAAATAGCATATAATTTGACAGGAAAGACACATCACCTGAAGGCTGAGGTTTTTCAGTGACACTCCAAATGACAAAGGGCAGTTTGGATTTGTTACCTGTCATTAACAAAAAAAGGAGGAAAATAAAGAGCTAAGCCTTATGGTGTGGTTAAGACAAAAAAAAAATCAGTTCTTCTATTGTAACGTGCTCTAGAAACAGTGTTTAGTTCATTTAAAGTGGAAACATGTATAAACTTGCAGGACCATAGATAAAATTGTACATTATTATGGTAACTCAGCTTGAATACTCACATGATCTTCATAGCGCACGTGGATGTTAGAGATCTTGACTTGCAGGTTTTTAATGACCTGAGTGACAAGCTTTTCCGTAAAAGTGTCCTGTTTCTCAAGCTTGGGATTCTCTGTAAAATGCAAACGATTTAGGTTATGAGGCTCCAGCAGGTCCCAGAAGTTCCTGAAGATTTTCTCTAAAGGACCTTCGATACACATTCACTGTGCATTTCTGTATAATTGGAATGACATTCAGCTGGCCTTAACTCTCATGACTGCCTGATGAACTTTATAGATAACTAAATTTTACTTTCAACATTTTAATGATTATTTCTGACCTTTCCTTTTTTTATCATCTAAGCAAATATTAGCTTACATAAGAATGTCAGTGAATCACATTGCTGTTAATAAAGCTGCATCTTAAAACGTTTTTAAAAAAGCAAAAATATATATTACACATTTTTATTTAAATTTAGAAATACAATACAAACCTACACTGTATTTTCACCTACATGCTGTAAATTAAGAAATTAAGATACAACACTTTTCACCTTGAAAGAGGACATAGTCTTATAAAAAGAATAGCTTGTAGATAGACACATACACCTGTGGTGAGGAGTTTACACACTCATCATTGGCATGGAATGAATGCCATTTCTTTTTAAACTCATCAAAGATGTATGTTGTACAAACCTGGAAAAATACCAGTTCAAAGACATAATTAAGAGCCCAAATATACCCTGATATTCATGTCCAAGATGAGTGGTCAATTATTAAGGACAGATTTTTTCTAGCTAATGGCAAGTGTATATTGTTGAAATGACAAAACCAGGCTGTCCCAAAATACAGCAACACAGCAGTCTACCACTAGAAGGAAAGACAACTGCTGAAGTGGTGTGATACTCAAGTGCTAAACCACACATAACAGAAAAAGCGTGAAAAACGCTGGCTGCACAGGAACTCGCAGCCATACAAACCATGACCATATGACATTAAATCTGTGTGTGTGACTATACGACATATTTTATAAATTTTGATATTACTTGTTTGTCTATGCAAAGTTAACACCAAATGTTCTACTGCCCACTGGCTCACGCACTGGAGCGCATGACTTATGTTTACACAGCCAGAGAGCAGCAGATGAGAGCCAACAATATCAACATTTGAGTTTTTTCTCTAAGAACCTGTTGACCATGACAAAGGCTGTTTTCATACAAAACCTACAGGGAACACTGCCATACAAACAGATACACACTGAGGAGCTTTGCTATAGTAACATGTTTACAAAAAAACCTTAAAAAAGTAAAATAAAGATGCACCCTGACCTTGCTCAGCAGCCTTCAGCTTTGTCTGCTCTATCCGCTGTAGTTCCCTCTGGCGAGCCTCCTGAAGCTGCTTCTCCTCCTTTTCCGCATCATACTTTATGCCTGAAAGAAATAGCACCAGAAAAAATGTGCATCTTTCTGTATTATTATATTTGATAAATACTTTTACTTTAATAGAATTAAATTATTTTAATGTATTTTTGAATCTTTAAAACATATTAACACAAGCAGCTTACTCAGCTTATCAAAGATGTCCAACAATATTCAGCTACTGTGTGTCTACTAAATGTGGTTTTTCATTCATTTTATACACTGTAATGTCTACTGTGAATACTTGGATCAAATTTGTTTTATTTTGATGCACATATGAAATCATCTTACTTGCTGTGGGAACTATAAGCAGGTAGACACCATCCAACGTGGCCTCCACGGATTGTGTGTATAGGTTCTTCCATGGTATCTTCAGTTGGAGACGCCCTAATCACAAAAACACACAAGTAAGAAAAGGTTCTTCTGTACAAAGGTACTAAACTAAACAATTATGGTCAGTAAGAGCCAGAGTAAGAGTAAGTCGTACCTATATGACCAGCCTTCACTTTAAAAGGAATATCAAGTTGGCTCTGCAACAAAGCACAATGAATAATAAATAAACACATATCTGTGAATGCCAGGATGTAATAACTAATGCTGTTTACTCACACACTTAACTGCAACTTACCAAGGCATTTTCCTTTATTTCAAGATTATTAAGCACAGCATCACCTAGAGGGCCAGGAAAACGTTGTTACTATGGTAACAGCATTATGGCTTACCATTTGGGTAAAGTGTAGCTCTTATAGAAACTCAATCTAATTAAAGAGGTTTCAGGACTTTTGACTTAATGCAACTCGCACCATAGAGCTCCAATAATTCAAATCGATCGCAACACATTATTCATAGACATACTACTCATGTAAAACAGTCTATGAAAGACAACTCGTTTTTATACATTTGTTGATTAGAGAAGCTGGTATTAAGATAAAGTTTGGTGAAAAAAGTATTTCATGGTTTGACTTAGTTACTAGTTTTAAAAATTGATCCAGGTTCAGCGGCTAAAGCCAATTTTCAAATACTCATATTTGTGTACAGTGCCAAAGATTTCTTGGAACGAGTGGGTACTTAGTATGAAGCACAGTACCAAGTCATAACCTGGTTGTGTAAAAGGGTGTGACCTCGAAATGCACAATTCCCAGACGCTCGCATGCATGCAGTGCTCAAACAGACTTGCGGGAGCAAATAAGATAAAAAAAAAAAAAAAAAAAAAAGATGACTGGAACAGTCGGAAATAACGCTGTGTTTCAATATATCTCGATGTCAACCTTGACTGCACTGTCTCGTTCACGGTGAACAGTTTAAACTGGTTTGGGGACGCATAAAGTGACACTAACAGCTTCCTCAGCTGTTAGTGTCATACGCCTGGTGGCTAGCGTACGTTAGCATTTCGCTAGCTAGCTTAGAGAGCGAGCTAACCAAGTAAAATGACGAACACAAGTTCAGTTACCTCCCCATATGCCGAGCTTTAGCTGCGAGCTGTCAAGGTTGACAACGTAGTCCCCTAAAAATCGGTTGAGGACATCTACAACCACGCTTTCGAAGACCATTGTGGCGTTTCTCTCATCTGCCTATCACCATGTTTACATCCCGATGAGGACTCGTTCAGGTTCAGCGTCAGATTAGGACGTCTTCCGGGGGTGGGCGGTGCTTGACGTCACCTGTAACAGCTACTTCAGGAAACGGTACTAAGAAATGTCAAAGCCGTTATTGAATGGGATAATAATAAACTACACCCATACTTGGGAAATTGGCTATGAGTAGCGTAGTCACTGCCCTGAGCTGCACAGCACAGTTGCCTTACACCTAGAAGGTCCTGGAGTCTGAATCCAACCCTTGCTGGGGCCTTTCCATGGGATGCTTAGGGGTTTTTTCCAGGTATTTAGGCTTCCTTACACAATTCAAAGACATACACGGGATGAGGTTAATGCGTGTGCCTGAAATGTTTCTAATTGTAAATGTGAGTGTAAATGGTTGTCTGTCTGTGTCAGCCTTGCCACAAAGTAGCAACCTGTGTAGGGTTTACCACTTGCAACCCTGATTTGGATAAGCGCAAGACAGTGGATGAATGGAAGTGGCGGAAGGATGGATTACATCACACCCATTACATCTTCTTGCCTACGTTCTGCTACACAGACAGACTCCTCTACAAGAACAAACCACCTAGCTCTGAAATAAACCTGTTAACCTGACCTAGGCACATCAGAGGATCATCCCAGCACACCAGAATAATTACATATAATGCCATTATTTTGATAATTGATAAGTTTAAATGTGTCCAAACTCCTCTGTGCTTATACAACTATAATACCATTACCTTAGTTGTGTAGTCATGATAGTAGTGTGTTTAAAAGCATTAAAATCCACTGAGACATATATGCTAGATTTTAAGAAAGAGTGTCAGTGTGATATTTTGAAACGCTATGTCGTAAGCCTGAAATTCCCTGGCTTCCTCAAAATGGTTCACTTATCTCACAGTCTCGCTGACTCCAACATGCAACAAAGTCTAATGCTGTTTCATGTTGATGTTGTTGAGCTTTTGGATAAAACTGATATCACTCCAATAACGTTTAGTTGCTATTATATGAGCTCAGGCAACTGCTGCTTCAGTCTTTATGGCTGTTTTTGAAATTAAGGATCATGAGTTTTACAGTATTAACTTGTATTGGGTAATTTCAATAGATATTAAAAAACAACCTTTATTTGTCACATACACAATCATACAGAGTACAACATGTAGTGAAATGCTTGTGTCCGCGCTGCAGACAGGCTGCAGACAGGCTGCAGACGTGCCACTCCAGGGCTTGGTTTTAGCATGGGGGATCTAGCCATACTACTCATGTTACTGGATACCAGAACTTGTGACTCCCACTGCAAAGGTGTGTAGTCTTACCACTACACTATCCGGCTCCCACACATATTGTTATGGTTTTGAGTGGTTCTGGACTTTATGATGTACTCTTGAGTATCAGAGGTGTATTTTATTCGGGTTCTATATGTAAATCTTTGTTTGCGGTATTTCCTAGTGCTTCTGAGTTCTATTGTCTACGTTTCTTAGTTTTTAGTCTTTCTTTAGATTCTGCTAGCCCACTAGATTCTGTGATCCATATACGTTTCCCCAGTCGTGTCCTCGTATCTGTCAACTCTGTCTGTGCTCTGTCTCTGGGGTTGTCTGGTCTCCCCATTTAGTTGTGTCAAGTTATTCTTGTCTCCCCTGGTCAGTCATGTCTCTGTGTCTGTTTAGCCTTTTGTCTGTATCAAGCTCACATGTCCGTGTCTCTTCCTCAGCGTTATGTTTCCTGTTCTCCTGTTCTGTTTTGAATGTCCCTCATCTTGTGTGCATTATGTTAAGTTTTGCTTCTGTCTCAGTCCGTTTCTGTTTGGCTCTGTTCCCCATGTGTCTCCGCTGTGTCTCGTTACCTCATTATTTAATATCTACATTTTCCTCATTTTTTGTCATATTGTCACCATACTTTCCCATCTTGCTGTGTGCTCTCTTGTTATGTGTTTCCTTGTAGCCAGACTTTCCTAGTTCCTTAAGTTTTATATTTTGTATCATTCACGCTCGTAAGATTATAGAAGTAAATCTGACTTTTTAAGTTAAGTTTCCACGTTTCTAAGTTGTTTTTTTAAGGTCAAGAGTCATATTTTTTTGGCCTTACGAATGTGAAATTGTAATAAATGAATAAAAGAAATAACTTTTGGAATCAAATTTAACCACTTAACTGATTTATTCAGGTAATTTAATTGTGTCAGCAGAAGAAACATTAGTATGAGGAAGACTGGGACTGAGACTGTTTTATGTGGTCTGATTTGTATCCTCTAAGATTTCTAACTGCTGAGTTCAAAGTTCTGGGCACAAGTCATATTTACAAACCTCTACAGTTCAGACTTCATCACTCAGTACAGTGTTTAATATAAATGGCATAACAGGGCCGTACAATAGAGTAGCATGACAGCGATAAACAGAAGAGAGCATATTTGGATATGGTTCAGCAGAGAAACAGAAGAGCTGACAGTTTTATGTTGAACATTACAAAACAGCTGCCTAGTTGTATATCTTAAACAGCAACATTAACATTCAGTGCAGGCACATATCGTGACCATCTGATGAAAGTATGTGTGCTCTAAACTTAAAACTCTGCTGAGAGAAATATCTGCTTCTTTAACAGCTAAATGCCTTACTATGCTCAAGAGCTCATTGCTAACTAACATATTTGCTCACTGGTTGCCTCCCTTTTCAACATTTTCCTTTTTACACATTTTAATAGTTTTTTTTTTTTGTTTTTTTTTGCCTGTCCCATTTGGATCTTTAGCCATCAGAATTGTTGTCTGAAGGCCAAGAAAGATGCCAAGTGGATTTACTTTACCAAGTGGATCATCATGGCCTTGCCATATTGGTCCATTTGATTGACCTTTATTATAATTATGTATTTATTTTATTTTTGTTTTTTAAAGACGGGACAGACATGACTGGGGGATAGGACAGGGAGAAAGAATGAAAGAAAGAGAGGGAGAGAAAGAAAAATAGATGTGAGAAGAGATGGTGAGAAAGGGGGAAGAAAAAAAACAAAAACAAACAAAACACCTGGATCACCTGTATGGAGATAAAAAACCAGAAGAGAAAACAAACAACAAAGAGTAACATAATAAAAACAACACCATCACAATAAACTAGCTAACAGTAGATAACAGTAGATACTAAATATTACATGTTATTGTTATTGGGGGTTTTTTTGTTTTTGTTTTTGTTTTTTAATTTCACCTGTTGAGAATGAAAAAAGAAAACAAGCAGAAGAAAACAAGAGCAATAGAATAAACAACATCATGATGATCTATGGGAATATAACAGTAAATACTAAATATTAAACATTATTGTGCTGCACGTTGGATCGACAGCGCACAGTGTGCTTTGAGGTAGGAGCCAAAAAGGGTGTCGTTTGTGTGTGTGAGCACCCGTGTGTACACCTGTGAGCATGAACGCGCTTGTTTTTAAAAGGTTCCTTCATGTAATGATCTGCTAGAGGGTGTGGGGAGCCACAGCCCCGTCCTCCAGGGCATGAAGCAGGTATGGAGGAGATCAACATTTTAATAGTTTTAGGACATCATAATTTTATCACATGTAATATACAACACATGCAGTTTTCATGCTGGCTAAGTGATGCAAAAAACTATTTTTCTGCCTGTTTATTTAAAATAAGCAGCTGGGACAGAGGTTTGGTTATCACTCCCATCACTTTCCCCCTTCTCAGAGTTCCAGCTGCAGCTTTATGCACTACTTTCAACCTAAGCTGCATTTCCATTAGATCTTTCTGACTCAGCTCTGTGAAGTAGAAATCTTCATTGAAAACTGGGCTCCGGCAGTTCCGGATGGTGGCACTCTCCTGCTGTTGCAGCTTCCCGGGAGTCAGACACAGACTCACTGCACAGTTCAGTGTCTGTCGGTCAGTATCACTCCACAGGTCTTCCACAGACACCACACGCACTCGGACTGTGGATAAGGATGACGACGTCCTGCCGGAGAATTTGGTGTGCTCAGCGGAAAGGCGCACTCTGCCATGGCCCTGCAATGGGAGGACATGCACCCGCTGAAGTCTTTCCTGGCACTGCAGAGCATCCATCGGGAGGAGGGCTGGTGGAGTTAGGTTGGCTGAGTTTTCCTCCAAGCTTAATGGGCTGCTGAGTGAGGCTGTTAAATCCCCTCTCTTCCACTTCCTCCTGCCCGCCTTACTGTCAATTAATGAAGGGCAAGATACTGTACCTTTAAGGCGGCCACTGCTTGATGAGACATAAAGGGAGGATTTGACACAATAAGGTGAACTGAGGGGAGAAGAGTCACTGGAAGAAGGTGTCTCGCTTTCTGTCTCAGACATACTCTTGCATAAAAATACCGGAAGAAATCCAGATAAAGTTTTCTTGGGAAGATTCATCTCTTTTGCCAGCCTTGGTGCTGCAGCAGGCATATTTCTATCAAGCAGGTAAACAGGGCGTTTTGAGTGGAACAAAGACTCTTTCCTCCGAGTGTTGGGGCTCTCATAAATTCCACCCAGGCCGTAGCTCTCTGCAGAGAATGGCAAAGGCTTCTTTGTAGCTTTCCAAGCCTTTGATGTGTCACCATTTTTTGTCTTCACATCCTTTGTCTTTACATGAGGCGTGTCTGAAATCTGCCTACTCTTAGGAATCTGGTTCTGACCAAATACAAACAGTGGCTTTTCCTCAGCTTCTAGCAGTGGGCTTTGCCTGCAAAGCCGTGGAGGCAGACAGAACTCTGGGATCATGTCTGGGGTTAGGACATTGTTGTGCAGATTCCTTGAGAGGCTAGCCTTTGAAGGGAAAAATGTATCCTCCTCATTCTTTCCAATGTAACGACTCAACTCCTGAGGAAGGCTCTCCATGCTCTCCCTGATCTTCTCAAGAACCCACATGGCTGTTTAATGTTGATTTAAGGATTTGAATGTAGTTCCCTTTCCCCACCTTTGGTGACAAGAGTAAAGTATTATTTAATCAAATATAGAAATCTTGGAACAGAATAGCACACTTTTCAGAAATAAAACAGTTTTGCCAAATGGTGAAATGATTTTTTTCTTCTTACCTTTGGGGTTGTTATGTGTCTTTCTCCAGAGAGAGACCTGCCTGTGTGTG